CTGGCCTGGCGGTCGGTGCCAGTGACTCAGGCAGGGGTAGAGCAGGGGTCAGCTGGGTTAAAAGAACTGTGCGTTCGAGTGTCAGGAGGAGGTGGTGGCCGGGCCTTGCCTCTCAGGACTCAAGGGGGACGTCAGGCTGCAGGAGGCCCAGGCCTGGGAGTGCCGACCCGCTCCCGTCTCCCCAGTGAGGCTCTGCGACTGTGCCCTGGGCGGGGGGGTGGCCTTGCCTTGTCTTGGCTGCGCTGCTCGCCTTGCAGATTTCAGACGAGGGGTGGAACCCGTGCCTGCCTCCCTCCCTCCCCCGAGACTGCCAGGGAATTCCCAGAAGTTCTTAATTTTAGTGCTGTTAATTTTATCAGTCTTTTCCTTTATGGTTCGTGCTTTTTGGTTATTAACTTTACAGTTAATTCTGTTTAAGAAGTCTTTACACTAAGAGCATGAAGAGATTCTTCTGCATTATTTTCTAGGAGACTTATTGTTTTATATTTCATAAAAAATATTAATTTGGGGCGGTCAGTTTTATTGAGAAAATTTACATACTATAAAATGTGTCAATTTCAAATATACCATTTTTTTCAATTAGTTTATTTTTGGCTGCGTTGGGTCTTTGTTGCTGCGCCCGGGCTTTCTCTAGTTGCGGCGAGCAGGGGCTACTCTTCGTTGCAGTGCGTGGGCTTCTCATTGCGGTGGCTTCTCTTATTGCGGAGCACGGGCTGTAGGCGCATGGGCTTCAGTAGTTGTGGCACATGGGCTCAGTAGTTGTGGCTTGCGGGCTCTAGAGCACAGGCTCAGTAGTTGTGGCACACGGGCTTAGTTGCTCCACGACATGGGCTCTTCCCGGACCAGGGCTCAAACCTGTGTCCCCCGCATTGGCAGGTGGATTCTTAACCACTGCGCCACCAGGGAAGTCCCAAGTATACCATTCTTTGAGCTTTGGCACGTGTATGCTGTGTATAGTCGTCAACACAATCGTGGCAGACTGTTTCCATTGCCCTGGAAAGTTCCCTTGTGACTGGCCCCTGGGGTCTGGCAATGTTGGATTTGCTTTCTATTTCTATAGCTTGCTTCTTTTAGGATTTGGTATAAATAGACGCAGTGTGTAGCCTCTGTGTCAGGTTCTTTCACTCAGCGCAGTGCTTTGAGAGTCACCCTTGTTGTCACGTGTGCCGGTGGTTTGCTCCTGCCTGTTGCTGCCTGGTGTTCCTGGTGTGGATGGATCACCCCTCATTCATTCACCAGTGGATGGATATTTGGGTTGCTTGCACTGTGAGGCTATTGTGAGTAAAGTTGCTGGGAACACTCACATACGAGTCTGTGGGGACATAAGTTTTAAGTTTATTTGTTTGTATTCCATTCCTATTTTCAGGTACCATCCTGTTTCAGGACCCCTGATTTATGTGTCCAGCCTGGACTACTGTCTAGGGCTCTAGTCTCACGTCCAGTTTCCTCTTTGACCGTCTGCACTTAGATGACTTACCAGCATCTTTAACTTGATGTTTTCAGAACTAGACTATTTTCTTCCGTCTGAAACATGTTTTCTCTGGTGGCGTTTTCCAGCTCAGTAGCACGCGTTCTCCCTGTGGTTCAAGTTGGATGCGCAGCTGCACCCCGACTCTCCTGGCCCTTAGCCGCCTGCAGAGTTCAGCACGTGCTGTCCGTTATGTCTGGTTGCAGCCGTGCAGCTGGTATCAAGGCTCTGGGATTTCTTTGGGCTTCGTGCTCGCTGGCTCCACTGTAGGAGCAGTGTGTCAGGATCTACCTTAGCAGCAGGTGTTGAACACTGGGTCTGGTGCAGCCGGGGGTCAGATCCCAGAGAGGAATGCAAGAGATCTCAGGATCCTTAATGCAGTAGTACCATTCTGATGATAAACTTATTATTTATATCATTTTTATTAACTGAACGTATACACTTTGTGTTAAGATTAATAATATACATTTCTGTTGGGGAAGGGGAAGGAGGTACTTCGCTTTGTCCACAGTCTTTAATCCCTGAGAATCAAGAATAAGAAAATATTACGGATTTACAGCACCAAAGCAAGCAAATGAAAGTACAGCGTAAACCTCTTCTATAAACAGCGTAGTCAATCAAGTACTTCCTGCACACCCACTTCATGCCAGGTGCTCTGCTAGGTGCTGTGAAGGGGCTCACTGACCACTGAGACAGGGCTCCTGTGTGTACACAAAGTAGTCAAGAAAAGAAGTGTTCATTTCTCTCGGGTAGGCAGTCAGTAGTCGAGGTGCGGGGTCTCAGGGGGAGTACATGTTTAAGCTGTTTGCCAGGGGCAGCCAGAGCATTTTGCATTCCCACTGGTGAAGCGTGAGAGACCCAGCTGCCGAACTTACCAGCGCTGGTGTTAGCAGTCTTTTAAATTTAGCTCTTCTGTTCCAAGTGAAGATACTCTCACCGATAGGGCTGTGTAGCAGTGTCTGTTAGTGGTCTTAATTTCGTTTTCCTCTGACTCACCGTGTTGAGCGTCTTCTCATGTGCTCGTGTGCCTCCATGCCCTCTTTGGTGATGGGTCTGTTGCATTCTCTTGCCCTGTTTAGAAAACCTCGCTTGTCCTGCATTTCTCCTTTACGATCCTTCAACTGCCACGCTCACAGCACTTCTGACGACAGACGCGTGGGGGTTTTCCCACACTCGGCACTTCTGTGACCGCAGCTGGGTGTCCTACGATTGCACTCAGTTCTGACACTACCTACCTGGAGTTAGTGTGTCAGATCCCACAGCCTGAGGGCCAAGTCCCGCGAGACTGCTCCCCCTCCCCCGCCCGTTGCAAATCCAGGGTATCGCCTTTGCTGCTGACTGATCGCCTATAAATTGGAGGTTTCCAAGACCCCCTCCTCAGGGTTGGTTAACCCGCCAGAGCAGCTCACAGAACCCAGAGAAGCATTTTACTTGCGTGGTTTCCAGTATATTGTAGAAGGGTAGAACTCGGGAACGGCCGGCTGGAGGAGAAGCCGAGGGCAGGGGTGGCGAGGAGCCCAGGTTCCCGCTGTCTGGGTGCCTCTCCCTGCCAGCCCCTCCGCGTGCTCACCAACCCCGAAGCTCCCTGACCTTATGCTAGTGGGATTGTGTGGAGGCCTCCTCACGTGGGCCTGACTCACCAGTAACTCCATCTCCAGCCCCTCTCACCGTGGAGAATGGGGGGTGGGCCTGCAGCCTGCTAACCATGGCTCGGTCCTGGGGCCGGCGGCCACCCAGAGTGGGGGACGCTGCTGGTGCTCTTGTCACTTGGGGATTCACGAGGGACTTAGGAGCTTTGCTGGGAGCTGGCGCAGAGGCCCATGTGTATATTTTCTACTAGTTCTCATGCCCCTTCTCTCCTTTTCCTTACATACTTTGATTTTTGTATGTGGTTTGAGATAGGGAAAAGGGTTTTCTCTTCACCTCTGTTCTTCTGTTCTTTCACCTCTTCCTGTGGGGCGACCTTCCTAGCAGATGGAGGACCTCTCTGCACGGCGTGCGCTGGGCGTGCTCACTTCTGTTCCATCGTCTGTTGAACTTTGTGCCAGTGTCTGCTGCCTGCTTACTGCAGCTTTGTGATGAGTTTTGCTAGCCCACGGCTGGTTCTCAGTTACCCTTTTTACAGAAGGCCGTGGCTCTTCTGCTCGTTCACATGTTCACGTGTGCTCACCTAGTCAGTCAGACAAGAGAACCTGGTGGGGTTTTGGCTGAGGTTGCGCTCGAGCCGTAGGTTCAGTTTGAGGAGGATTGATAACTTGATAATGTTGAATTTTTAGTCTATGAACGTGATATAATCTCCATTTATTAAGGTCTCTTAAAATTTTTTGTTAATGATGTTTTCTGTTCTGTTACAGCTCTTGCGCAGCTTTGACAAGCTAATTTCTGCATGTTTCCCATTGTAATTGGTGTCTTTTTTAGACTTTTCTAACTTGCTGATATATAGAAGCACAGTTCAGTTGTATGCATTGACCTTGTATTCAGCAACTTTGGCAAACTCACTTTTTATTATAATGTATCTTCTGACTCTTTTGGACTTTATGTAGGTAAGTGGAGCGTCTGTGAATAATGATTATTTTTTCTTTTCCGGTCCTTACGCTTTATGTTTACTTGGCAGGGAATTGTTAGTTTTGTGTCTCTTCAGAGAACTAGCTTTTGGTTTTGTTGATCTTCTGTGTGTTTCTCACTGTTTTAGTCATGTCCCGGCCCTGCACTCGGCCCAGAGGGGGTGCCCTTGCCACCTGAGCCCTTGCTCCCGTGGCTGTCCTTCTTGCAGAGTCCTCCTCCATCTCCCGGTGTTCTCCTTGCCCGATTTGCCAGATTTGCCTGCAGGTGTGGTTTCATTCTGTAGCCTCCCGTGTATCATACAACGCGAGGAGGCCAGGAGTGCAAAGGACAGCCTCTGGGTTGGCAGAGCCTTAGAACAACTACTAGCCTTAAATGCTGAGGAGCGCTGCTGCCGCTGGTTTCTTCTCTTCCTGCTCTCGGTCTGCTGCTCTGGGGGACCTCGCACGTGAGGGGCTCGTGGATTTTGTAGCGTGGTGTCGGAGGTCGACAGCCAGCCTATACGGTGCAGACGGACTTGATAATACCAGGCTTCTGAAACCTCGGCGCGGGCCCACAGCTCTGCTTTGTGGCCTTCAGAAAGCTTTGTGCCCGCTCTCAGAATGACAGGACATCCCTTCAGCGAGGAAACAACACACCGTGTTTGACGTGCGAGCTTTAATCAAAATAACCCGCAGGAGTATTTTGGAAGGAGAGTTAACAACACCTTTTGTTTGTTTCTTCATTGTAAGTTGAAAGTGTTGACAGTTCTAAAATTCTCCTTTTTGCTGGTATAAAGAACTGTTGACACAGTCTTGACCAGAAGTGTAACTGCAGCAGGTGTTCACTTGGGACAAGCAGAATTTTAATTTTCATCTGCTAATATGTATGCCATATACTTTATAGCCTTGTATACGTTTTAATGTTTTTTGTTAAAGTGCAACATAATATTCATTCTTTTTCATAATGGTTTTACTTTTTAACCTTACAGAATTAACACTGAATCCTCCGGAAGGAATTGTGGCAGGTAAGGCAGTGTGAAGTTCGCCTCTTTATCATTTACTCCTGATTGCCAAAGTTTCCTTCAAAGTAAAGTTGTGAAATTTCTTCTTTTCCTGCAGGCCCCATGAATGAAGAGAATTTTTTTGAATGGGAGGCATTGATCATGTAAGTTAATCATATGTGTTGTTTGGTTTCAAGCCTTTGTTGGAAATTAGAGCCGTGAATCACATTCTGCACTGTGAGTGGTCAGAAGCGTCAATGGGGAAAAAAGGCCAAGTGCGCCTCTTCCATTGAGCTTTTCTGTGTCTGCTGATCTGAAAGCAGAAAACACGTACGTTCTTCCAAAAGAAATGAAAGTACTTCCTTAGAACCAGTAAAAGGTTTAGTTGTAAGTGTTTGTATTTGTAGAGTTTGAAAATAATGAAGTTTGTGTGTTGGGTTAGCCTCAAACAGAATGGGCTTTGGCTTCAAGGAGTCCCTGTGAGCCTGGGGCTCTGACGTCGCGGAGGGGTCCTCAGGGTGCGGGTGACGCCGCAGGCCTACTGGTGCAGCCTGGGCCCTGCCCACCTGTGTGCCTGGATTCTTCCCCTCCCCCTCCCCTCCCTCTCCCCCTCCCCTCCCCCTCCCCCTCCCCTTCCCAGCTGTCCAGCTCCTCTGCTGCTGCTCCTTTTCTGTGTACCTGGTCTGGCCTTGCCTTGTCCCCGACTTAGAGATTTGGCTTAGTTCTGAGGTGAGCAGTGTGGTTCCTGACCTCATTCTAGCAAGATCCTGACTGGATTTCCTATTTCACTTACAGTGATGTTGCTTGGAAAGAGCCAGATGGACCCCTGATTCCAGAGTATTCTCTGGCCCTATGACCCAGGCCCCTTTTTTTCTCATCTTTCTACCTTAGGTGTACAATTCTTGGCCATTCTTAGACTGTACTTTTAACAAAATGTGGTTAGGTAGACTTCAGGAAGTTGAAATTTATAATCCATTTCAGAGTCTCGTTAGTAAGATGAGGAATTAGCTGACAGCTTTCAGGTGGGGTTTCGTGGGCTGAGGCGTGCTCTAGGGGGTGGGCCTGGGAGATGTGTGAGGGGTGTGTGGTGTCAGCCTCGTCAGACTTCCTGCATCTGCCCCGTGCCTGTATCCCATTTAGGCTGAAAACAAATTGCTGCTCAGTGTTGTCTGCGGAGCTCAGATTAATACATGAAATTGGTGTGAAAATGAGTTTTTCTCAAAAGCAAATGTTTTGAAAATCATTAATAAACACTATGCAGAGAAAGTACAGCGCACCTAACGTTCCCTGAGCACTTGTTATACCCTAATTCCCTGGGCCTGTGACACTCATTTTTTTTCCATGTTTAAATGTTTCTGGCATGATGATGACTTCACAGTCTGTGTTTGTATCTAATATGGTGGTGTGTCTTTCACCCCTAAAGCACTTGCAGATTGCGTGCTGGGCCTCCTGGTCAGCGGTGTCCTTCGTTCGCTGCAACAGGGCATTGCGCACTCGCGTCAGCTGTAGCTTTTTATCTTTAGGGAAACAGTACGCCCCAGGGCAGCTGTCCTGGCTGGGGTGCACAGATGATTGGAAGGCCTTTGAGCACACAGGTCAGCGGGCCCCTGACGGTTTTTCCGTCCTTGGAAGGTGTGGCTGGTGCGCGCCCACAGGAGGCTACTGAGAAGCCCTTCCAGGGACACTTGAGCCTTCCAGTACGGTTTTTTTTTAAGGGTTTATTGTTAAGAATCTGTTAGGATAAATATTACTAATTATAGATAAATAACATAAAGTTAAACCAGTATTTTGAAAACTTACCTTAAAAAGTAATTAGAAGTATTTTTAGGTAGAACACTTTTATGTTTGAAGAAGGCTTTTGCGTTAGTATGGAATTCCCCTGCCTCAGGATGTGGTGAGTTTGTGGGTTTGGTCCTGTTCCAGATCCTTTCCCAAACAAGAGGCCGTTTACAAAGGTACTTAAAACATCTATTAAGGAATTAACTGTCCTCCTCTTGATGTGTCTCGCTCCGCTGTTCTGGCAGACAGCTGGCTGAGTTTCACTCCTTAGTGATAGGTTTTCTCTTCTCTCATTTTATTCCTCGATTGTTTCCAGAGTTTCTTCCATACCCTAGTGCTTCTACAAGCCACACTTGCCTCCGTTTCTGGGAGTCTGCTGCTGTTGCAGTAGTGCTTACCTGCGGAGCCTCAGCTGTGCAATGCAGAGAACATCTTTTCAGATGTTCAGGCAACAAATACTGAGTGCCTGTTATATTAGGGCCCTCGTCTGAGGATACAGGCGTGTCCTAGGTGACCCCAAACCTCCACCCTGAAAGAACAAGATTAAGGGACGAGGATGGGGAACACAACAAATTAACCAACAGGAATAAAATCAACACGGCCTGTTCTCTGATTAAAAGGAGACAGAACTCTAGTGACTCCCGGCCGAGCTTAGGGCAGAGTTTGACCTGTGACCCAGTGGGAGAGGGCGGGGGCTTCCGGTCAGTGACACTGACGCTGTGTGTGGCTGGCCTGGCTTTATGGTCTTGGGCAGTCACTCTGCCTCTCTGACCTTCGCTTATTTGGATCAGTACAGAGCCTCGACACCTTTTTAGACCAGTGGCTTCACTTCCACCTCTTCCAGCTCCAGGGTCTCTGGCCTGTGCAACCTCGTTGGCCCTTGGCCGCGGCGTGGCAGCTGTGGAGGGTCCACGCGAGCTTCTGCAGGACAGGAGGAGCCCTGCCGTGCGGGACGGCGGTTTATCCTCCGTGGCTGGAAGAGGCGTGAAGCCCTGGGCGTCTTGCTGCCCCGTTTCTGTCCTGCCCCAGGTGACCTCCCTGCCTGGTCTGTGGCCGAGCCTCTGTCCCGTCTCCAGATCAGGGCCCCGAGGCTGTGGTGAGATGAGAAGGCCCTTCCCTTCCCCAGCGGTTGGGGGCCCTTGGCTGACGCCATCCCCGCAACTCTGCTGGCGCACTTGGGTCCCAGCTGGTTCACACCTGCGGTGGGGAGGATTCCCCCGGCTGCGGCTCCTCCTAGGCTGTGCTTGGCTCATGCTGGGTGCCCAGGCCACGGTCACGGCACCGCCCTCTACACCAGGCTTTCTTCTTTACAGAAGCCTGGCTCCGGTCAGGATTGTGTCTGCTCAGATAAACCTGAGATATTACAATAGATGTTCATAATTTGCACTGTATGTTCTCTGACCCAGCGGTTCCCACCCTGGGGATGTCTTCATCAGACATTCTGTTAGGAAAACCTCTGTGTAAGGAAGTTTATTACAACATTCACTGCAATCATAAAAGAAAGTGGAAACATCGTTGTTCAGTATAAGTTACGGACATCCAATCAGCAGGATGCCGGCAGCACTGCCATGGTTCACGCAGTTCACGCAGCGTCGTTCACGCAGACGCTGAACGACGGGTCTAGACCAGTGTTGTCACGAGGTGTGGCCTCGCCCCCAGGGACTTTGGGCAGTGTCTGGAGACATTGTGGCTGTCACACCGGGTAGCAGGGGGAGATCTCTACTGGCCCTGGGTAGGAGAGCGCTGAGTGCCCCGCCGTGCCCAGGACGCCCGAGGTGGCAGTGGTGCTGAGGCCGAGAGACCCTGGTGTGGCCGGGTGCATTCAGTAGCTTTGTTGAGATAGAAGTTAACATGCAGAGTTTCACCTGTATTAAGTGCGCAAGCCAATGATTTTTAGTAAATTAAATTTATAGAGTTTTGCAGTCATCACACTTCACTTTTAGAGCATTTCCAAGCACGTGCTCACACCCCTGTGCACCCAGTCCCCCCTCCCCCTCCGCCACGGGCACCCTCTGATCTGCTCTCTGACTGTTGATTTGCTTTTCTGGACTGCTGCTGCAAGTGGGGTCACACGATGCAGCATCTTCGGTGTCTGGCTCCTTTTTCTGGGCAGCCTGTGGGAGCGGCCCCTTGCCGTCACCACTGAGCTGTGTCCGCCGTGAACGGACCCGCTCGCCCATCGACGGGCATTTGGCGGCTTCCCTCTTCGGCTGTGTGACGGTGCAGCTGCGAACACGGGGCCTAAGTCTGTGCGGATGGGTTTCCGCCTCCCTCGGCTGGATGCGCAGGAGTGGGCCTCCTGGCGTATAGTGTCACCGTTTTACACTCCCACCCGCAGTGCTGAGTTCTCGGCTCTCCACTTCCTCACCCTCTTGGTGGTGTGTGATGCCAGCTGTCCTGCTGGGTCTCATTGTGGGTTTGGACTGCGTTGCCCTAATAACCGATGCTGTTGAGCATCTTTTCATGGGCTTATGAGCCATTCATCTATCTTTTTTGGTGAACTTCAGAACTTTTGCCCATTTTTTAATTGGGTTGTCTTCTTATTTGGTCCTAAGAGTTCTTTATATATTTTGGATACAAAGTCCTTTATCAGATGTATCAGTATGATTTTCAGATATTTTCTCCCAGTCTGCAGCTTTCCTTTTCCTTTTCCTTTTCTTTTTTATGTTTTAGGCCGAGCTGTGTGGAATGTGGGATCTTAGTTCCCTGACCAGGGATCAAACCCATGCCCCCTGCATTGGGAGCATGGAGTCTTAACCACTGAACCGCTAGGGAAGTCCCTCCTTTTCATTTTCTTAACGGGGTCTTCTGAAACGCAAAGGTTTTCATTTCCAATGAAATGCAGTTCAGCAGTTTTTCCTTGTATAGATTATGCTTTTGGTGTCATATAACCCAAGGTTGAAAAGATTTTCTCCTGTGTTTTCCTCTAGAAGTTTTGTATTTATAGCTCTTAAATTTAGGTTTTTGGCCCATTTTGGATAATTTTGGAGTATAGCATTAGGTAAGAGCCAGGTTCATTTTTCGGCATGTGGCTGTCCAGTTGTCTTGCACCATTTGTTGAAAAGAAAATCCTTCCTGCATTGAATCGCCTTGGACCTTTGTCAGAATCAGTTCCCTAAGTGTGAGGGTTCATTTTGGACTCTGAATCCTGTTCCGTTGACCTGTGCTTGACCCTCCATGAGCACCACACACTCCGTCATTGCAGCTCGATAGTAAGCTTTGAAATTGGGAGGTGTTTTGTTCTCCTCTTTCAAGATGTCTTAACCTATTCTGGGTCCCTTGGTCTCCATTGGAATCTGGGGATCAGCTTGTCATTTTCTGTGAAGAAACCAGCTGGGATTTGACAGGGATTGTTGAGCCTCTAGGTCAGCTTGAGGAATGTTGACAGTCTAACAATCTTGAGTGCTCCAATCCATGCACATGGAGTGTCTCTCCACTTATTCAGGCCTTTAAAAGTCCCCTCAGCGATGCCATGGTACGTTTTTAGTAAAAAACGATCCAGTTTTTGCAGATGAAGGTATGTGAGTGGATGCACTTGGAGGGGAAGCCTGGGAGGGTGGCCAGACTCCGTAGTGGCTGCCTCAGAGCTGGTTCAGGGAGGGGGCAAGGAGGCCTTTGCTTCTTACTTTATTTACTTATGTGTTTGAGTATTTTCTAACATACATATTTTTTCTAGTTAGAGTCAAAGTTTATGTTGCAGAAGTCCATGTCAGAATTCACTATGAAGTTCTTGTAATTGATGAACTTATTTAGTGAACTTTAAATATAGTTCAAATATATTTGAGTTAAAGTTTTCAGAAATTTCTGTTGCAAGCAAAAATTAGGGGATGACCGTAGGCTCATTTCAGACGGATTTAATCATGAAAATAATTACATGGAAGGAAGCCTGTATTTGTTACCACCGTGCTTTCCTGAGATGGAAGGCCCTGTCCTTTTCCTCCCTCACAGTTTAACCAGCTCTGGTTCTCTACATCAGGATCGCTAGGGTGCTTTGCACACAACAAAAGAGGAAAACGGCTCTTGGGTCCATCCCCAGAGACTCGGTGCTGAGTCAGGGCTGGTGCCAGATAGGTGTAGACACATAGTCCGGCTGAGACCCCCAGGCTCCCAGGGAGACAGGCAGCGAGGGCACTGTCTGCGGGACGACAGCTCCCTGCAGCCCTTCCTGGCTTTCCTGCAGGTGTGAAGGTCCTGTGAGCGGGAACTTCCGGTCGGTTTCTGTGCAGCCTCGCTGCTGGCGGGGTGACCCTCACGCAGCAGGCGCTCCTTCAGTGACTTGGGGGCTTAGAGGCACAGCAGGGCACCCCGGAGCTGGAGTCGTGGCTTCTAGAGCCCCTGGCCCGGGGGCTGTGCTTGCAGCCCACGTCCACTGGGGAGGTGGGGGCTTTGGCAAGAAGCTTCGGCCAAGCTGCGGAGCCAGGGGTGCAGGAAGGAGGTGGCGCCCCTGCTCTGACGCCAGGCCCCCTCACGCCACCGCCGGGTGCTCCGTGTGGGTTCTGCAGCAAGAGAGCGAGGGCAGTGACACCCTCGCCTGGACTGGAGGATGTTTGTGAAGCAGTGTGCCCTTCTTTTTTATGCTTCAAGTGGTCATGGCTTTGGAGAATGATTGTCCCTTGGTGATCAAGTTCAAGTGTGCGCTAGTGGATGGGTTTACGGTCTCCATTATTTCAAGCCTCGTATGTATGTTTGAGAATTTTGTCTGTGTGCTATGACAAACTTGAAAAAGAACAGCGCAAAAACAGCTTCTTCCACACCTGCCGCAGCTGGAGTGACGTGCAGGCTGCGGTCCTGGAACATGCCTGGCGGGCAGATGGCTCACTGACGCCCAGACACACCCGGCTTCCACGGTGCAGCACTCTGGCCTCCCTGCCGCCTTCAGTGTGCAGGCCGTGGGCTTCTTTTGTCATCTCTGTACAGTTTTAGAGATGAAAGGCAAAGCACGGTGCTTCACTCGAGTTTAACGTTGAAAGACTAACCAAGCGTGTCTCCAGTTTCTATCGGCTCTGCACGTGACCGACCACCAGTGATGGCTCGTGGCTGCAGGTGTTGAGCCAGCGCTGTCCTTTGGGAGGAGCGAGCGTTGCTGGGCCCTGGTTGGGCTTAGACCGTGGGTGCAACTCTCCCACTGCTGGCTCCCTGGCCTCTCGTTCCCCTAAAGCCGGGAAGTCAGAGTGCACTATTGCCTTTACAGAGGAGAGCAAGGGCATTCTGCTTTACTCTTAATACTAGTCTCAGAAAATAAAACACTTACCTCAGAGCTCTGAAATAATTTCGGCCGTTATTTTAATCAATTAAGATAGAAGATAACTTGCAGGCTTTGAAGAGTTTGTATTTGCCTCAGATAAATTTGATTTTGAGGTGAGGCCTTCTTTGGTGAAAGCGGAGTGAGGCTGTCCTGAGTATGACAGGAAAGCTTGTCCAAAAATAACACTAATATCTCCCGTCTTGGTCCAGGAATTTACTCGATAGCGTTTCCCATGAAGTCAGCAGGCAGGCCCCCGTGCACGTGGGCGCACCTGTGTGCTGGGCCAAGGCACTGGGCATTCTGGAAGAGAAAGAAGCCCCTGTTTCAAACCAGTCGCAAACCAGAGCATTTGAAAATGGCTTTGATATTTCAGATGTGGGAGCACTTTAGGAAATGTTTGATCTTGCTTCTGAAGCTGTGGACGACCTAGTGGGTTTTTTTGTTTTTTTTTTAAAGAAAGCTCTATTATGAGAAACAAAGACCTGAGCAGATATCTTGAGAAAATACCACTTGGCTCAGTCCAAAAGCACTTTAACTACCCAGACATTCTTTTCTGTTCTAACTTGGAGGTGCCCAGAATACCAAGGCACTGCGAGCATTCCTGGTGTGGCCGCAGCCCTGATTTGCAGGCTCCTGGGTTAGCAGCCTGAGCTGCCCTCTGCTCTCCGCTGAGCCACCCGATCCGGGACCTGGCCTGAGTCAGGTGACCCTCGCTGAGGCGACAGCACAGCTTCCTGGCACCTTCCCTTGGGAGGCCGTGTGAGGGCCAGCGCAGTGGTGTTTATCCTCTACTGTGAGTTGTAGGCTGGAAGAGGGGCGGGGGGCGCAGGCTCTCCGCTGCTGTCGGCGCTGACCCCCTCCAGAGGGGAGGGCTTGGAGGGCGGCTGTCGGGGAGCCGCGGCCCCCGAGCTCGCCTCTCCGTGTGGCCGTCCTGCCCCTGCTTCCTGCCGGGGCTCTGGGCACTGCTGTCCAGGGACGCTCATCCCTCCGCGACAGAGCAGTAGCTTTCCACTCTTGGTTTCCCCACAAGTAGCGAGGACACAGTTTTCAGAATCCAGATGTGTCTTCAATTGAAAACAGTGTGGCTCCGCCGAACACCTGCTGCCTTGTTCTTGTTTTGGCCATTTTACCAGCCCCTCCCCACCCCACCCACCCCATGATGCAGTCCTGGCCTCCACTGCACTGGTGCCGTCGAAATCCCTAGGCGTTGTCACCAGGTGGAAGTGAAGCCGCCTGCACAGTTTCTTTGAGAATTTTTTGTCTACTTGAACTGCTGCTGTAGCGCGGGGTCTCGGCCCCTGTGCTGGTCATCAGGGCCCGTGTGTTACGCGCTTGGGGCCTTGCCCTCTCCGCGCCCAGAAAGAGAACGGGATTCCTCTTGATGTTGAACTGACCGGTCTTCGCAGAGTGCTTGTCTGGTGTCGCTCTGTGTAGCTGTCATTCGGCAGCTCTGCCTCCTGATAAAAATGTACGGAGGAGAGATGGTCTTAGATTTTAAACTAGATTTTAAACTGCTGTCGTGCATGTTTTATAAAGGACGTTTGTAAGGGGAGGAGGCGTTCCTCTCTCTGTTAATGTGCGAGCTGCTCTCCCTCTCCCTCTCCCTCTCCCGCTGGCCTTCACATCTTGTCTGTTGGTCAAGATAGTGTTGATTTATACATATAGAGCTTTAAAATTTGACGGGACTTTGGAAGTGGTTTGGCCCGTTTCTGCTATTTTCCACACCAGGAGGACGTGAACTCAGGCAGGCAGGCACGTGCCTGGTGACGGTGAGGACTCAGGTGACCGCGTGGTCCCAGGAGGTGGGACGAGCCCAGGCCTGCAGGTCAGGGCTTGCGGCTGCCGCACGTGCGCACGAGCATCATCAGTGCTCCGTACGTGCTCTGTATCTGTTTCTTGAAGGTTACAAAACCACTTCTCAGGCACATTTAAAAATTAGAAGTAGCCTTTGAAGTAACAACTCTTCACCCCTCATTCATTAGTACAATAGAGTCCTGCTCTAACATGTACCAGGGTTTGTATCTTTATCCTAAAATGTAATTGTACCACATAGAAAAGCAGAATCCCTGCTGCCCCACTCTCAGCCTTATTAATGTGAAAATGCCCGTGAGCCGGTCTCTGTGATTCAAACCTGATTGGAACGGAACGATGACACGTTACTTTCCAACCATAAAAAATACCAATTCATTGTTATCATGATATTTAGATAATCTTTTCATGCACATTTGTGAAGCAGTAGGTATTTCCTTAACTCGTTTCTAAAGTGTGGGAGACATTGAAAAAAATCTACCTTGAAGTTCTGTGTCTGTATTTTGTATCTTTTAGGGGCCCAGAAGACACCTGTTTTGAGTTTGGGGTTTTTCCTGCCATCCTGAGTTTCCCACTTGATTACCCGTTAAGTCCTCCAAAGATGCGATTTACCTGTGAGATGTTTCATCCCAACAGTAAGTGCTTTTGAAGTAGTTTCGATGGTTCCAGGAGAGGCCTAGAGATTGTGTGCATGTGGGCATTCATGGTATACTTCTGTTTTGCTCTGTGTTTGGAATTTTCCATAATACAAAGTTTAAAAATTCATTATGGTCAGAAGAGTTGATTGAGGAAGTCAACAAGTTCAAGGTGATTAACTATAAAATACAACTATGAAGAGGATTGTGGGTAATTAAAAAATAAATGATAAGGGCTTCCCTGGTGGCGCAGTGGTTAGGAATCTGCCTGCCAATGCAGGGGACACGGGTTTGAGCCCTGGTCCAGGAAGATCCCACATGCCGCGGAGCAACTAAGCCCGTGTGCCACAACTACTGAGCCCACGTGCCACAATTACTGAAGCTCGAGCACCTAGAGCCCGTGCTCCACAACAATAGAAGCCACCGCAATGAGAAGCCCGTGCACCGCAACAAAGAGTAGCCCCCGCTCACAGCAACTAGAGAAAGCCTGCGCGCAGCAACGAAGACCCAACGCAGCCAAAAATAAATAAGTAAATAATAAGATTATATTGAAGATAAATATATTCTTTAGAACGATACCTGTGATGTGGTTTAAAGACAAATACGGCCAATAAACTGATTGAATTATGTGTGTACTAAGAATAGCCTGATAATATCATTTTATTTATTTATTTATTTTTTTGCGGTACACGGGCCTCTCACTGTTGTGGCCTCTCCCGTTGCGGAGCACAGGTTCCGGACGCGCAGGCTCAGCGGCCATGGCTCACGGGCCCAGCCGCTCCGCGGCATGTGGAATCTTCCTGGACCGGGGCACGAATCCGCAGGCGGACTCTCAACCACTGTGCCACCAGGGAAGCCCCTGATAATATTATTTTTGTTGTTCAGGTAATCAATGCAAATAGTTTTTAAATTTGGCCTTACTGTAGGTGGGTATCTGTTACTTTTATTTTGTAAAAATTATTATTTTTTAAAAAAATTTATTTATTTATTTATGGCTGTGTTGGGTCTTCGTTTCTGTGCGAAGGCTTTCTCTAGTTGCGGCGAGCGGGGTCCACTCTTCACCGGCGTGCGCGGGCTTCTCACTATCGTGGCCTCTCCTGTTGCGGAGCACAGGCTCCAGACGCGCAGACTCAGTAATTGTGGCTCACGGGGCTAGTTGCTCCGCGGCATGTGGGATCCTCCCGGACCAGGGCTCGAACCCGCGTCCCCTGCATTGGCAGGCAGATTCTCAACCACTGTGCCACCAGGGAAGCCCATTTTGTAAAAATTATTTTTGAGAAGAGCTATTCAGTAGGTCTGCCGATGTCATAAAAATTGGTCGGTCCATAAATACTTAAAAAAATAATCCAGCGGATTCACTGAGAGTTGCTGGGATGGGGTGGTGAGCAGACCGTCAGAGGTGGGGGGCTGGACGGTCAGGAGCTCCCAGTCTGCGGGCAGCGATGGACGCTGATGAAGGAATCATACAGAGAGATGTGAAACCACATGGGAGGCCAGGGAGGCCCCTGCAGGGGTGGTGGTTGAACCCACCACCTGCAGGAGGAGCTGTAGGAGTTACCCAGGGGGTCTGTTTGGGGCGGGGAGGGGGTCTAGCAGGTGCAGAGGCCCAGTGTGAGGAGGGAGGAGGAGGGGGAGGGGCCAAACCAGTTCAGGCCTTTTGGTCAACATTAAGGATTTTGATGTTTAGCCGAGGAGCAGTGGAGACCCACTGAGGGGCTGGGAGTGAGCATGAGGGGCGGCGTGACCAGCATGGCCTTTGAAGGGTGATTGTGGTGCAGGCTGGAAGTGGAGTGGAGCGCGTGCTGGGCCGCTGCCGTGGCCTGGAGGGGAGACCGCCAGCCTGGCACCAGCGGGAGTTGTTGGCGCTGAAGCGCTGTGGCTGGGCGGGGACTCGGGAGGGTTAGGAAATGACGCTGCTGTGGTGTGGTGGTGGGAGGTGGCAGGGACACAGCTGCTTTTTGATGTTTCTGGGGTCAGCGGTGTCATCGCATGGTGCTGTCACCTTGAGGAAGTGACACTGAAGTTGAAAACTCTGCAACACCTCCTCTCTGTCCGTGGCAGAGAGAACTGTTCAAAGCATTCTGGGCGCCCTGGTCCCGTGTGTGTGGACTTCAGACGGCCATCCTGGTGTCTGAGACAGATCACACGTGGTTTCCTAACCCTTCGGTGAGAGTTTGCGGTACAGTTTCAAAGCATAGAAACCACTAGAACAAGGGGTGCATGGGGAAAATGAGGGCCCAGGTGTAAAAGAAAGGCTGCTTATAACGACTCACATTTCTGAATGGTCACGAAATGCTGAGTTCATGAGTGAGGGTGAAGTAAATAAATTTATTTAAAATTGTCTGGTATTCTTACTATTATAACTTAATAGCCTTACAGTTTTACAAGTGATGCCTGGATATCTGAGCATATACTAACCATCTGAGAATTTCCCCAAGTATGTGTAAGAGAAAGATAACAGGTGCTTTTGACCTTCTTGACAGGACCAACCCCAGACTTTGAATTGAAAATTTATTTTTCTTGAATCAGGTCTTGAGGGTCTCGTTAGTGGTGCTGTTGATGGGAGATGCGTTTAGACTCAGGCACAGCTGATGTCCAGAGGAGCCAGTTATAGTAAGTTAGCAAGAGGAGTCCAGGCGTCTGTCTTGCTCTGGGTGTTTAATTCCTGTAGCGTTTTCCCAGCTATGGCAACGCATATTTTACACAGTCCGTTTCAGGGATTTAGTGGCAGAACGAGGGATATCTAAGAAACCTTTTATGAAAAGTGTTGTGAAGAGTCTAATTACATGAGGTACTTTGGTGGAATGTCTGGCTGCCAGGCAGCCTCTCCTTTATCCCCTTTGGATATAGTGCTTTTCAAATGCATATGAAGGTGGAGTCACGCCCTGGCACTAGAGCTGTTCAGACTGGCCCAGCACCCTGCCGGCCGGGCCCGCGGGGAGCGCGTGCACGCGAGCGTGGCCGTGGATGTGGCGCTGGGGCCGCAGGTGGTGCCGCGTGCACACAGCTCCGTGCCGGTGTCTGTGCCGCTTGCTGCCCTTTCTCTGTGGGCCTGACCGAGCGCCCTATCGCGGGCCCATTCCCTCGGCTCACCGGGTGTGCTCTGACCCCGCAGTCTACCCTGATGGCAGAGTCTGCATCTCCATCCTGCACGCTCCCGGCGACGACCCCATGGGCTACGAGAGCAGCGCCGAGCGGTGGAGCCCCGTGCAGAGCGTGGAGAAGATCCTCCTGTCGGTGGTGAGCATGCTGGCAGGTAACGCCCGCCCCGCCGGCTCCTGGCGCACTGCAGGTTCACGTCCAGCGGGGGAGAGCCGACACTCGGTGCTGCTTCTCTTTCCTCGCTAACCCTTGTCTTCTAACTCCCTGTCCACCGTGAGGAGTCGATATGTACTGTTTTCTTTTCTGCTTTTTCATGTAATGTCACTCATACACACTTTGCCAAGCGTAAGCTGCTTTTTATAATTACAGATGTAAAGATGGTCTTGTGTGTATCACATTGTTGGCCATGAGTAGCCGTGGGCATTTCATTCATTCAGTGGGCACTATATTGCAGACACCGTGTCCTGGGGTGTAAAGCTCAGGTGACACTGACCCCAACCTTAAGGCCCCACGTTCTAAGGGGACTTTCACAGCCACCAGCTGTTGCAGGCCACTGTGATAAATCCTGAGATCAGGGTGCAGGGGACACTTCCCGAGGTGAGTTTAGAACACGTGGGAGTTAACAAGGTTGTGGGGGGGCACGGACCCTCTGGTGGCGTCACCAGGACTATAGGTATGGCTGGAGCCCGGCTGGGGGTGGGGCGCCCTTTGGACCTGCACTGGCCCGGAGCTGACGCTCGCTCGTGGGGCTGTTAGACCACGGATCGCCCTTGCAGCCCACGTGCTTGAGACAGGCGGGGTGGGTCCCAGGCCAAGAGGATGGGGGAGGTTGGGGGGACCTTGGAGACTCCGGCTCTAGGGCTCAGCGTCCTGGGGCGGGGGCGCTCCTGCCCTCACTGTGGGGTGGAGGGGTGCGGACTTTGGGGGCAGGACTCCAGAGGGAGCACGATTTGGGGGAGAGAAGAGTTCAGAGTGTCGTGTGAGTGGCCACCTTGATGGGGGCTCTCGGGGACTGGCTGTGGAGGTGAGGGTGTGTGCCCTCTCCAGGTAGACAGGGCTCGTGGCGGGAGGGAGCTGAGAGAGGAACGGCCCGGCAGCCCCGGGGGAAGAGAGCGCCCATGAAACGGAGGAGCGTCGAACGGAGAGAGCTGGTGGCCAAACAGGAGGCCCGAGGGGGAGGCCCCCAGTTGCCGCTTGATCTGCTCGGCTGGTGCCTCCTGAGTGAAGCCGAGTTGGCTGGTGCGGCCCTTGGGAGGCTCGGGTGGAGGAGTCCTGAGGGTGGGTCTGTCCGCCGCTGCTCCGCCCCGTCCCTCAGGGGAAGGCTCCCGTATCCACAGAACTGCTGTCCTTGCCTGGAGTTCCAGGTCCCTCGGCGCTTCTGGTTCGTCTCTGGTTACCTCTCTGGGAAGATCAGTGATGTTCTTACAGGAGGTGGGAGGTCTTGCCAGGGCCTTCCTTCTTGAGCCCCTTCACGTGGAGGTTCTCCTTCTCTTTCAGAGCCCAACGATGAAAGCGGGGCCAACGTGGATGCCTCCAAAATGTGGCGGGATGACCGGGAACAGTTTTACAAGATCGCCAAGCAGATCGTGCAGAAGTCGCTGGGGCTCTGAGCCTTGCCCACATGTGTGCACAGCTGTGTGCCCGCGCGTGCGTGCAGGCACACCACCGAGCAGTTTTTGGAGTTTCTCCTCCAAGACACTTAGTGACAGTGACACTGTGCTGGTACCAAAAAAGGCAAGCTTGCAGAACCACAGCATCTATTTCTTTTCTACCTTTCCCACCCCAAACAGCCTTCTCTTCTGCAGTGATGGTTTCTGTAGGACGATGACAGCTGGGTGCAGTTGAGGGACCCACCCCTCGTTCTTGCCGAGGTGGCCCAGGGAGATGATGAGAGCCGTCACCACTACCTCTCCAGCTGACGTGCCTGCGGACCCAGCACTTAGTGCGGAGCGGGGAGGGGCGTACGCGCCGGCCCCCAGGGACTAGAACCAGTGACGCTCCTTCCGAAGACGTGGGGCCTTGCAGACCAGGAGGAGGACAGTGGCCGGATGTCTCTGGGGGCCCCTCCTGGTTCCCTTGTCCCCCGTGAGGAGGACATGACTTTGTTTCAGTACTTTGTTTTACAAGCAGATTTTTTTCTTGCAATCTAGGCACATTTTTCATTTGTTGTATGTTACAAATAATCACATTTAGAAATACTTTCAGGAAATAAATACTTTTTTAAAATGTGGACTAATGAAAAATGGGGCACATAGAAAAGAAGTTTCCTCCTGGCCATGAAGACCGGCGTTTTCCCTGCTGGTATTGATCACAGTTAACGCTCGTGTCTCAGTTCCCAGTGCATTTACCAGAGCAGAGGCACGTGAGACCGAGATTGTAGTCAGAGTGTCTTCTGGGTGTGTCGGAGCTTTTCTTTTCCAATCTGAAAACTGGAAAGTGCTAAGCGTTTGTACGTGGTGGCTGCAGCGGGAACTTCAACTATTGGGACAAAACCGTTCTTTGCAACTTGCGAAGGGACGCTCCCCGGAGCGCAGAGCGCAGAGGTGTGTTTCATCCCAGACCTGACCGGCGCTCGTGGGAGCGTGGCACATGGGGTCCCCGGGGTCCCCGGGTCGGTGGGGGGTGCTCGGCTGCGGCTCGTGGTTTGGAGGTGGTCTGGATTCCTCCGGCGTGGGTAGCTCAGCCGCGGGCGGCTCAGCCGGAGCCAGGGCTCCGTTTCAAGCAATAACAGATCTGTTGCATGCAGTTAAATATGTGGCCTGTTTCAAACAGGTTAAATTTAAATAGGAGTTTCTATTTTTGAAATAAGGGACAGTCTACAAGACGTACAATACATTTTACTTTATGTTATCCTTTCCCTTTCATAATGTGCCCGCGGGCAGGAGTCTGTTTTACTGAAACCTCGCTAATTTCTTGGTGTTAAGTAGTACTGGCTAAAGGGCTTCTGTGGAAACCAGACTCTTTCCTTCTCAGAAGGGAATCATTTAAAAGTTGAAATGCAGTACGAGGACTTGTATTCGGAAGGGGATGGGGAAAGGAGAGGTGTCGTACCTACATAGTATCTGCGGGCGTGTCAGATGAGACGTAGCCCTCTCCACAGAGAGGAAAAGGTGGGTGTGGTGGAGTGTGGGCCTGTGACCACGTCAGCAGGTGGCCACGGGGGCTCAGGAAATCTGGAGAAGGAAGAGGGGCAGTCTCTTTGCAAAAGAAAGTATTTTTATTCATTTGTATTTATTAAATGAAACAAAAGAGGAGTCCCATGGTGTCCTTATTCTGTGACGGAGTTTATTAATTCCTATGGTAAAATAAAGCTATATTTTCCCCCGTCCCAAGCAGTGTTTTCTCTGTCGTGTTTTAATATAATCGTATGGGAACCCCGTGGCCGGTGGGCAGCGGGGGTGCCCCCTACAGGTGGCACGGCCGCCAGGACTCCCACTACCACCTCCTTCCCAAGACACGTGAGCTTTGGGAAGTTCCGCTCTTTCCTGTTCCTTCCGCCCGCTGGTCTCCCCTGGAATTCCCGCGTGTCCCTGTTGGGGTCGGCAGGCTCGACTGACCCGCGGCCTTTCCTTGAGCTGTGAGTGTTGGCAGCAGACGGCCGTCGGGCGAGGAGAGACCAGCAGGCGCGGAGGTGGCGCTTCTGTCCTGCTCTCGAGTCTCCAGTCTCGTCACGGCTGCTGACGTGAGTCTGCTTATGTCCCTCGGCCTCCTCTCCCCCAATGCCCTCTGCGCCGCGTCCTGGCCAGGGGCTCGGCCCGCCCTCCAGCAGCCTTCATTCTGCCTTTTGCCCAGGGGTTTCCAGCGTACTTCTTACTATTGAAGATCTCTGACGTGATCGTGAGTTGGGGTCCCCGATACCACCCCCAGGTTCAGTGGTTCCCTGGGAGGCCTCACAGCTGAGATCTATTACAGCCAAAGGCCCAGGGACTCGAGCGCCACAGGGAATGTGGCGTGGGGAGGGGTCGGGGGGACCAGGCACAGACCTCCCGAGCACCCCCCAGCGGAGCCACAGGGCGTGCGCTTGACTCCCCGGCAGGGAGCTCCTGGGGGACCAGCGCCCAGGGTTTTTATCCGGGGTTGGTCACGTGGGCACCCTCTGCCTGGCACCAAGACTCCAGCCCCCCGAGGGAGAGCAGGTGTGCAGCGCACACCATACCGTGGTGCAGATCGTTTAGGCCAGCAAGGCGCCCCTGTCCCACCACGTGGGACCCCCTCCCCGAGCGCACGTCCCCAGCTGTCTGAGGATGGCCGTCCCAGGCCAGCTGTGCTCTTTCCTGCTCAGGTATCCTGAACTTCTCCCCTTTGGGGATTTTAATTAGATTTAATTGAAAAGGTTGGTTTGCTCTGTTAGGTTTCTTTGTGGTTCGTTTTTCGTGTGTTGTGTTTAGTGCCCCTTCTCCATGGCATCGGTCTTCTGCAGATGTTTGGATATTTGAGGCGAATGTCCACCCTTGTTTTCCTGTTTGCCAGTCTGGTTCTGGGCACAAAGAGGGGCGTTCCGGGGTTTTATCGTCTGGGTGTGGGAGCCCCAGTGCGTTGTCCTGGGCGTGTCCTGGGGGAGGGGCGCATCCCTGCCGGCTCTGTGGCCCCGGAGGACTGGACACACGGAGCCCGCAGGGTCCACCCTGCCCTTCCCTCCCGTGCGCGGGCTGTGGCTGCCTTCCGTCTGGTTTTTGTACAGGTCAGGTTGCTGGTTTTTCAGAGGTCGTGCTGGTGTGATGCATTCGTCCTGTGCATCAGTCAGGGCTCCTGGGTGGAGTACAGAACCCACCCTGGTTACATGGGGGCGGCTCAGGATCGCCTGTTGCCACTCCCCCTGCGCCCCCAAGGCCTGACCGCAGGCCATGTGGCCAGAAGGCTATGCCCCGGCCCTGGAAGTCAGCTCAGCACAGCAGGACGCTGGACTGGCCTCTGTAGAGGACACAGAGCCACGGTCCAGTCCCTGCAGAGGCAGAAGTCTGCCTTCCCCACCCCTGACCCAGTCCCTGGGCCCTGCCCCCGCTGCCCGGGCCCCGCGGCATCTGGCCTGTGTCCTGGGTGCGGCCTCACCCCGGGCTCACCACCTCCCCGCTCGAGCGAAGCCCAGCTCCTGAGGATGCCAGCCCGGCCGGGTCACCGAGGCTGCCCCTCCAGCCTCCCCTCAGCGCCATCTGCCTGGGCCCCCAGCCCTGTCACCCTGAGCCTCTCTCTCCACAGTGCCTGCCCTCCTGGGGGCCACCGCGTGTGCGCTGGGCGCAGACTCCCCGCAGCTGCCTGCGCCACCGCCAGCCTCGGGGGAGCAGTGCTCTGTCCCCCGCCTGCCTGCTCCCCTCCTTCCGTCCTAGGGTGGGGCCCCGGAGCCCACTGCTGCCTGCGTCCCAGCGGCCCTCATGAGCCCGGTGAGCTGGCAGGCCCTGCCGCCCCGGAGTCCTCATCTGAACAGCCGTGGCTCCCGTGGGGCGTGTTCCGCTGTGTCCCCACGGACGCAGCGTTGCTGGGGCAAGTCGACCTGCAGCCCTTCGGACACGGCATGTGGCGCGTCCTCAGCCTCACCTTCTCTGCTGGCTACACTTGTCAAGTGAAGGACGACGTGTAGAACGCACAGAGCATGGAAGGGAGAGGTACCCGGGGAGTGTCTGCTGTGACACCGAGGGGCGCTCGCGGAGCCAGCAGGGGTGCAGCCGCGCCGTGGAGGTCCTCCCTTGAGTCCCAGCGCGTCTTGGTGGTGTCAGCTCCTTTCAGGGGCCCAGACAAGGGTGGACGTGTTCATGGGCCCCAGGCCTGGGCCCCAGCCCTGCAAGGAGCTGAGCTCGGCCCCTGGAGGGGCGCAGGCTGCGGGGGACGGGCCGGTGGGGATGGCGGTGGGGGGCGGTGAGGCCGCATCACCTCCGTTGCTCCACGCAGGTCGCCGCGTTGCGGCTGTGGGCTGCCCTGTCTGAGCGGCTCCCGCTGGGCCCTGGCAGCAGCAGCGGGAGGGCGCCCGGGCCTGCTGAGTGGGGGCCGTGGGCTGGGCCTGTCCCCCCCCAACGCGGCTCGGCGGGGCTGTGTGTGAGCGACTGGACGTCCCTGTGACTCGTGCTCGCTCCCGGGAACGTGGCGACACGTCCCTTTCAAGCGGGCGTGAGCGCGTGCGCGCGTGTGGACTTACCTTCCCGGCAGAGGACCTGACGCTGGAACCGACTTGGTGGAGATGAGAGACCGAGGATATTGTCTTTTGCCGGTGGCTTTTGGAAATCCTGGGTGATGTACTGAACGAGTTGGAACCACAGGAAACACTTGCAGCTCCAGGGCAGAGCAGACTCGGGGGCTCTCACCGGGTTCTCCCTCCTGGACTAGTTCCCGCCCAGGAAGCAGCTCCCTGGGGCGACGGGTGGCAGGGAGGTCCCACCCGCAGACCTGGGCACCCCCTCGCCCAGCCGGCCCTGCCTGCTTAAGGCCGGTGCCCCGACCCCACGTGTGCCCGCACTGGAGCCTCGGTATCCGGGGAGGATGAGACCACCCGAGGTCCGGCCGTGCGGGGCGGGATGGAGCTTGGCCCTCACGTCCCGCCCCTGCACCCCCTGGGCACCGCCGGGAGCCCGGCAGTCTTACAGGGACCCTGAGGCCTGGGCGAGAGATGGAGGGCATCCTAGCCCTGCTGCGCCGGAGCTGAGGTCACCGGGTTGTGACCGGCCACCAGCCAGGGACCAGCCCCTGCCAACCAGAGCCCAGCAACGGGGGAGGGTGGGAGTGAATCCTCCATCTGTCCACTCTCCTCCGGGCCACGGGGACATGCTGGAGCTTCCCTCGGCCAAAGCTGGCCCAAGGACCCCGAGGGCAGAGCCTGAGCCAGGGTAGCGGAGGGAGGAGAGGTGGGCCGGGCCCCGGGGCTCAGAGCGCCCTGCAGGTGGGGCCCGCAGGGCGGCCTCAGGGCCGGCCTTTTTCTGGGCTGGGGCCCGTGGGTGGTCGAGAGAGTGGTCACAATACGTACTTGGGCCAGGGCCCCTGGGGGTCTTTGGAGCACCTCTGGGGAGAGCGGAGCCTGCCCTTCAGCGCAGAGCTCTGTGTCTCCTCCTAACCCCCATCGGCCGGGGCCACCCCGTCGCATCAGCACTCGTCGCTGTGGACGTGCAGTCAGGGTGGACGAGCACGGTGAGGTGCCGGCTGGGTGTTCACGCTGCTGCCCAGGGCCGAGGGGACCACGGAGTGGGGCTGCCAGTCAGCGCAGGGAAAGAAAAGCTCCCCCCAGATCACTCGTCTTTCAAAGCAGAAGCTGAGTCGTGCGGCCCCTGTGCTATGAAACCGGAGGGCTCCCGGTCACCGAGGACAGGTTGGCCCGGAGAGCCTGCCCCCCGACCCCCTCCCCATGCTGAGATGCAGCCCTCCCTCCGGGGAGTTTTCGGGGCGCTGCTCAAGGCTTCACTTGCTCTGACGATGCCTGCCCCGCCCCTGCCGCCCACCTGCACCCACGAGCACCCTTTTCCTGTTAATCCGTAAAGTGAGTTGCGTTTCCGGATTTCTCTATAATTGCACCATCCTGTGTTTGTGGGGTAATCCGGTGTGTTCTTCCTGAAATCGTCTGTTCCACCTGATGGCAGCGTCTGGCTGAGGGGTTTCTGGCTACACTCACGAGGGAGTGGGTTGGCTGCTCTCTGTGTCTTGGTTTTGGCATCAGAGTCAGACTGGCCTCAAGGATGGTTTGGGGAGTCTCTGTTCCTTTTTCTTACTGGATTACCTGTTTCTTGAAAGTCTGGTAGAACTTACCTGTTAAACTATCTGGACTTACTGGTTTCTTTGGGGAATTTTTTTTTTAACATTAAAGCCATATATAGCAATCTATTTAAAGTGGATTTCTTATAGATAGCATGTATTGGGGTGTTGTTTCTATGTTTTTATTATTTCTATCCGATGTGACGGTCTCTCTTTTAATTAGTATATTTTTGTTTAGTAAAGTCATCGAGGAGCTTGGATCTGGTCTATAGCTTCATTTGCTTTGTCTGCTCCTCTGGTTGGGGCATTTGTTCCTGTTTTCCTGCCCTCTTTTAGGTTATTTGAATCTTTTTTAGTATTCTATTTAGTTAGTTAGCTTTAAATTATATTTATTTGTGTTAATCTTCTAACAATTGCTCTAGGGGTTACAGTAGACATACCTGATTTTGCACAGTCTATGTTAATAATTTACCACTTTAAGTGACACCCAGAACCCACACAGCCGTGCAGGACGCCCCCCATTTGTCATCCGTGTCACGTGTGCACACGGTGGTGGGGGGGGAGTCACCCAGACGATGTTCTGGTTTTTGCTTTCAGGATTTAGTTATTTTAAAGACTTTCAAGGAGACAAATAACGTATTATCCTTGTTGAGGTGTTCACTAT